TCCCACTTCGTATGTGAATGACCATCGAATGGTCATTCCCGATGAGATGTTAGGGAACGGGCATTCCCACTTAAGCGCGAATTAAAAAATACATAACTTTCAAATATGCTCAATCTCTCTTCGTTCTCTAACTGCACCCAAACGTGAGAATGGAAATGAGCATTCCATTCCCACATTAATTCCATTCCATTTCTTGTTTTATTCCATTCTCATTTCACTCGATTCCCGCGTACCAAACGATGCAATGCGGGTGATATCATCTGCTACACAAGGACTACTGTTGCCAATGGTAAGGTTAAAACCTGTCTCCCTATTGTTTAGAAAATTGATAATTTTTACCGTTTCATCTAATTGGGAGGGTAAGATTTTATTTTCCCCCCAGCTGTTTATATAAACAATGAAGGCAATGCTAAGTGTTTGTACCCCACTTTTTATTTCTTCATCATCATTACTAATACTTGCTGGTAGAGATGAGAAATGCATTTTGTGCTCTCCTTTTATGTTGAAGGAGCTAACCAATAAGCTCTGCAATTTTTCTTGCGGAGTACAGCCTCCATTTTCCCTTAACTTATACTGCTTGGTTATTCATTTGCAGGTTGGGCTTTTGCAGATTCTGTTCTGCATAGACTGGCACCTCTATGGATAGGAGCTAGAGGGTTGGAATTTACATGGGAATATATATTGCAAGGCCTTGAAGCAAATGCAAATCTGGTTTGATCTCCATTCTTCACATTGTACCATTGTAGAGACAGTTGCTGTTTTAATTTAGTTATCAACTACAAGTTATATGTCTGTAAAATAAGCTAGTAATGTTTATAAAATTGATAAGATCTTATTTTTCTGGTTTCAGGTGTTTAATTTATCTCTTGCTGCACTAGGATCCTTGATGTGGCTAAGGAAGAACAAGCCAAAGACTTTGATTCCGATTATTTACGCATGTGCTGGGATTCTTGCAACAATGCCGTCAATCGTTAGGTCCAGATCTCTCCCCATGTTTTTCCATAAACATTACCTGAACAAATAGCATCTTTGATTTTTTTCTTGATGATGTCAGCATTCTGGCCAGTCTTCTCTCGGTTTATAGGGTGACGAAAAATGCCTCGGCTTCTTTTATTGCTAAATCTTAAACATCTTCAAACACAGATGTCAAGCCTCCCCAATAGATTATACACTGTTGAATGCAGTTGGTGTTTCATGTGTGTATTCCCATGCTAACTAGTCTTGTCATTGTATTCATGACATAGAAGTTGTAATTCAAGGATTTGTTACGTGGGCTACAATTTGTCATTTTAGAGAAACATAATAGGGATTTCATCCTAGACTGAACTCAATATGTACGTAAGGTCAGCTCTCAACTTAAGCTTAGATCAATGACAATCGTTATTCCAATTCTGAAAATTCTCTACCTTGCGTCTTCTAATATTTGATGTCGCCCTGATTGATACTCAGGCACTCACTATCCTTTTTTACTCTGACTAGGTGGGATACACTTGCGCTGCACGTAGTCAAATACTTTGATTCTTTATTTTAGCTGAGATGCATTATTATGGGACACAACCTTCTTCACTATTATCAATAAATTAGGAAAACAAATCTCTTTCTTTGATCAGGATATCTATAACAACCATTTTAGATGAAAAGAATATCTGAGATAATTACAAGTCTATCATAATAATAAGGCTAAATATCAGATAAACCCTTAGCTTTGGATGATTATGAGAAAGCCCCCATAACTTTGGTGTGATTGTCATGTAACTATCCAAGACTTTCACAATATCAGAAAACCCCCTTAATTTTAGGGGCTATGGGAAAAACACTAAGAATTTACGAGGAAACGCTCTAATCAGCATTATTGCAATTTTCACATGGATGGGTAAAATTACGCATGAGGATATTTGGCCAATGAAAAATTAAGATTTCTACTTTTAGAGAGGTTTTGTGAAACAATATTAAAGCTTATTTTCTCATAATCCCTATTCTTGTAAGAGATTTTCTAGTTTTTTAAAAGTTATGGGGGTTATCTGATGTCTGTCCAAAAGTTTAGGGGAGTTTTCTTATATTCAGCCTGATGATGTATGATAATTGGTGTATGGATCAGTTTGCCTATGGGAAATTTGGAATGGAGTTGAGGTCCAAGTTACATACGATTTCCCAATTGTAGATGGACCTAATGGTAGTGCATTGTTTGAGTGATTATAATTAAGAGCCATAAGAAGATAAATAATGATAGTGTGTAGTGTGTTGTATGGGGAGCAAGATGATAATATTTCTCATGGGGTCATCAAATTAATCAAAGGAAAAATGCTATGAGCCCCTAAATTCAAAAACCAAATTCGTCTCCCCTCCAAAGATTAAGTCAACAAGCCCTTTACCCTCAAAATTAACTTTTTTATGTGTTTAACCCCCTCCAGCTCTGCAATATACCCTTGAGATACGATATTTTTCCTAAATCCCGATTTTAGCCCCGGTGGTTAGGCTAAATTGCACTTAAATGCCATATAGTTTCACCAACATTGCGCTTAAGTGACCCCTATTTTAAAACCAAACAAATAAATACCCCAAGGTACTTAAATATTGCAGATCAATACCCTGAAGTTAAAAAAATCCAAATGGTGTTATCATTTCTCTATGTATCGAAGAATATCATATAACACGGTACTAAAGTGTAACTTTACAAACTTTAGAGTATTAAAGTGAGGTTTTTACAAACTGATGGTATTTATATGCAATATTAGGTAAATAACAGGGCACCAACATGTAACATTAGGTAAACAAGAGGGCACCAACATGTAACATTAGGTAAACAAGAGGGCACCAAAGTGCAACATTTTGAAACTTTGGGGCATTTATCTATAATATTTAAATACTACGGGGCATTTATTTGCTCGGTTTTAAAATAGGGGTCACTTAAGTGCAGGGTTGGTGAAACTATAAGACATTTAAGTGCAATTTAGCTAGGTGGTTATCATAGATTTTGGAAATGCTGCCGAAAAATCTCTGCAGCTTCCTCCGTCATTATGGCTGGTATGTAATGTCGAAATGATGAGTAATTTGGAGGGGGGAAAGCCCCTATTTTCCTCTTTAAATCATGCATAAAATATATCATCTTAAACCTCATTGAAGCTTCTTATCTACTCTTTTCATAGCAATTTACTTTTCATAAATCCTCTTTATCTCTAACCTACTCCTTCAAAATGTCAGAATATTCCCTCTTTTTCATGGTTGCAACACAAGTAATGACAAGGGCGAGGACATATTCTTAGTAATTAATGTCGCTATCCAATTTATTAGCTTGAAGCATGAAGTGTCAAAGAGACTGAAACTCCCTTTCGAATATTTGTCCTTGAAGTTTAAGTCTGAAAGGCAAAATAGCTTGAGTTTTGCAGTTGAAAATGAGAACCGTAAAATATTAATGGGAAAAATGCTATGAGCCACCAAGACTAAGTCAAGTTATTATCAACTTCAAAACTCAAGATATTGTGCCTTTTAGATTTAAACTTTAGGGACAAATTTTCGAAGGGGGAGTTTCAGTCACTCTGACACTTCATTCTTCAAGCTAATAAACTGGGTAGAGCCATTAATTACTAAGAATATGCCATCACTCTCGTCATTGTTTGTGTTCTTAAGCATGCAAAGGAGGAAATATTCTGACATTTTAAAGGAGGGCTAGGTGAGGGAGTAAAGAGGATTTAGGAGGAGAAATAAATTGTCATGAAAGAGACTAGATAGGAAGCTTTCAATGAGGTTGAAAATAATATAATTTACATAAGATTTAAGGAGGGAAATAGGGGCTTTTACGCCTCCAAACTATCCATTATTTCGGCGTTAAATGCCACGAAGGAAGCTACAGAGATTTTTAGGTCACGCCTTATTTTATTTTTTGGTTTGTGTGATAACCATAGGGGGTAAAATAGGGATTTAGACAAACTACCGCATCTCAAGGGTATACGGCTGAACTGGAGAGGGTTAAACACATAAAAAAGTTGATTTTGGGGTAAAAGTCTTGTTGACTTAATCTTAAGGGGGAGGGACCGAATTTGCTTTTTGATTTGGGGGCTCATAGCATTTCCCCCAATGTTTTATCGTTTTAATGTTATCTAAAACCAAACTCTTTTTTGTTGTGGAAATATTAAATTTTAACCATTAAAAAATAGGGTGATTGATCAGGGATAGGATAACAATATTCAAAGTTACTAATTAGGATGACTCTATTAAATATATTACTCAGGATAATATTAGAGTGTATAATATGTAAAGGGTCAAGAGTAATATTGACCATGGAAAAATTTTACTCAATCTCAGACTTTTAAAGAGAATATGATTTCTATGGAGTATCCAATTGTGAAAGCATGATCTAGAGTAAGTAAATGTTCTTGTACCCTCATATGCTTAGCATATAGTAAAAACATAAATCGAATGTGAAAGCATGATCTGCAGTAACTAAGTGTTCTTGTACCCTCATAATTTTAGCATATATATCTGGATGGTAGGGTAACTATTATACTATTATAACCCCCCCCCCCCTCCCTCAAGTTTGGTCACTTATTATGAAACCTATTTTTTTCATTATCAAACCCCTTGATGTTAAAGAAACTGTTAAACCCCATTTATGTTTTACGTTTTTTCTCTCAAGTAGCCCTTAACAATTGATGGGGAACAAGCAACAATGCTACTCTTCTTCCTCAAAGTATTGATAGACCTCATCTCCCCTCTCCCAACCAACATCAAGTCTTGATAGAGTTGGGTTCACCTCATATTCATTTGCTCATGGAAATGATAGTGAAAGTTTAAAGCTTTGGCTTGCATCCAGCCTTAGCATCAATCGTGAAGAGATATAGTGAAGTTCTTGTAGCTGTTTTTTTAAAGATTTTGTCTGTTTTGTATAGGTTTCTTTGGGGGTCTGTTTTGTTGTGTTTACATGTTTGGATTTGTACTTACGTGGATGATTGGAAACTAGAAAGGCTTTTTTTTTTAAGCTTATAAGCTAATCTAGCTTTTGGTGGGGTATGGCTTTTTATGATAAAAAGTTTTATAGGCTAATCTGGATTTTGTCTCATTTTCATGTGCTTGGTCAAACCTAGCTTATTTAGATGAGCTTATAAGTTAATTTTTTCAAAAGTTGGGGAACCCCAACTTTTTTAAATAGGCTTAAAGCTAGCTTATATGGGATCTTACCAAACACGTAGACATGGAAGAGCTAGCTTATAAGGTTCTTTGACTGAAAAATAAGCTCCCCCAAACACCTATATTTCATATATTGATTATGAAAAAAAATCTGTCCTTATCTAAGAGAAAATAAAATTTGATCCTTGACAAAGAACAATCAGTTGAAGAACAAGGTAATGTTTTCACACCCTGTGATTTAATAATCTAGTCTTTTTTTGGTGAATTTCTCAATTTTCCTATCTATATTTTTTTATTGTAGAGAAATCTGAAATGAGAGAAAAATATGTTGAGAGGGAGAAGAAGAGGGTTGTTTTGGAATATAAATATATTTCAACAGTTTTTTAAACAGCTGGATAATGTAAAGATAATGTTCGGGGATTTCCTAATAAGTAAGTGACCAAACTTGAAGGGGGTTTCGTATTAATTACCCAAAGAGATAAATGTTGAGTTTATGTGATGGCTGCAGATTATATGTGATGAAGAACTAGCAGAAGAAAACAACAATACTGAGCTTGAGGTTAGACTGCAACTGTGCCAGGTCCATATCAGTTTTGTTTTTTTACAGACAAGACCTGCAGTTTTGAAAGTAAATTGTTGTGACCCAGTAATTTAACACTAAGCCCCTTTCACATAAAATAATTGAGACTAGGACCATATCAAGCATTAACCAAGGAGAAGTTTTTCTTGGATCTGCAACATGCTCGTTTATTTCTATACCTTAATAGTTACATGGACCTATTGCTTTTTTGCTATGTATACATAAACTGATTATGAACACTTGTACCTGAGAGCATTGTGTTGCCACATAATAATAGATAATATGCACAATAAGACAGACTTATGTCTATCTATTATAGTTCACATTTCGTCTGATGAAGTTGCCTTTTTCTGTAGCTCGATATGGTGTCGCCTGCATGGACTATGGAGGATATCTGACATAATCTGCTTTTTTATGTTTTGGTTTCTTATCCCGGTTTACTCAACCATGCCATGTTTTTAAAAGATTCCAGTCGTATAGTCGTCCCTAAATTGCTTCCTAATTCTATTTCCACATAAATTCTTTTGTTATTTATTAAAATATTTTGGTTCTGCAGTTACCTGAGAAGATCCATGGGGTGGCAATCCCCCAAGGTGGTGGGTTTCGAACTATTCTCTTCCTTGATTATGGCCTTTATCAGTTTGCAGCTCTTCTCTGCATGCCAGAGGCCATCTTCATGAAGGATGCAAACTACAGAGTTAATTAATTCAGGAACGAGAGATGTTGCCCAGTTCACGCTTCTTCAGGCTCATTCATTTGGTGATAATGTACTAATGCAGCCTGATTAGTGCATTAGACAATTTGCCACTTGCTACTCCCTGATTCTACTATAGCACTCTCACGGTTTTGGACAACCTATTAATGTAATTTTAGTAAAACGAAACTTTAGTCCAAGTATTTATATTAGATGGTTAGCAAATGGAACTCTTTAGAGAGTAGTTTTCTTTGTTTGATTTGGTCCAGGGTCGGAGAGCTTTGTGGTAGTGAAATAAATTGTCTATCAAAAAGGATTCACTAGGGTAGAGCACGTTGATGGTAATTTCTACATTTTTGGCTTTGTTGCTGACAACTATTTTTCTATGCCATTGGGAAGCAATGAGATTCTGCAGCTTAAATTGTGCTCATGTACGTACCACAACAAATTATGATCAATTGACTTGATTATTCATTTCACTTCATTCTGCAATGGGAGTCATCAAATAACTTCCAATTCTTTGTGAATGCGAATATGGGAATTAGTACGTGTAACCGTGTGTTATCATATCCTTGAGGTTCTCTCGGTTACCCTCCGTCCTTGGCTTCAGAGAATTATTGCTGTAATGCAAAGGGGGTGCTGATGTTAATTAGTAGCAGCAGAGTTATCCAAATTCTCACTGTAAAACTCGTTTAGTTTCTCTCTTCTAAATATCGCACATAAAACTTTGTTTATGTAGAACATTTGTAATCAGATAACAGATCTATGAACAACACTTTCTTTACTTTTATCCCCTCCTCCATATCTCTGGTCCCTAGCATCGATTGTTCAATAAATTCTAAGAGAAACGGAGGATAAACACCATCATACGTTTTTGGGTGTAGAACTATTTCACCCGAGGTCCTCTTTTTAAATCTCCACAATCGCACAAAAAAGTTAAATACGTCATTGCTGATCATCCTCAAACAAATTTTAAGTTTCAGCCAATTTCTTCACTTAATATTACAATTCCATAAAAATCCAAAACATTTTCTGAACCAAAACACTTCGGAGCGCATCTACTCAGCTTCCTCCAAAGTAGCTTCTATCCTTAGCAGCACAAATCCAACGGCAACACCAACAAGAACAAGCCCATTCATAACCGCAGCAATCTGAAATATCTCAGCAGCAGCATTGCAAGTTGAAGACAGAGCACCTCCTTTGCTCCCCCTCTTCCCCTTGAGATTATTCACAACCGTAGCAAAAGACTGCTCAGTGCATTTACTCACTCCGAGTGAAGCAACACTGTTATGGGCCTTTAGCCCACCAAACGAGTTGAGCCCATTAACGTACACGACCCCAGCTGGCTTCCCCCTCATAGAGGAGCTCAGGGCTGTCGCTGAGAGTGCTGCTGTAGAAATTGTTGCCATCTCTGCAAGAAAAACGAAACAATATCAAAGAATGTGATGAGTTTGGGAATAAAAACTTTCACTTATTATTACCTTCGAGTGCCGCTATATGCTGAGGTTATAGAAGAGGAGAGAGGCGAGAGAATAAAAAGGGCGTTGTGTTTTTGTACGGGGGAGGCGAGGGGAGAGTTTGGATAAGGTGAGGGGAGGATGGTTGGCTGTTATTGGGGTTATTATCTATCTTTTTTGGAATAGAGGATTCTATCTTTTAATATCGACCGAGAAAATTGGTAGCGCGAGTGTTTTTGGCTTTTAAAGAGGAAAAAAAAGAAGTTTGCAAGTTGTTCGGTTAAGAAGTTGACGAAGTAATGACCGTCGTTGTTACACACGTTAAGTTATGACTAGTGTTTCATCAAAAAAAAAAAAAGAAAAGAAAAAAAAATGGAGTTTTCTGATATTGATCTTGTTTATTTTAAAATAGATCTACGAAAGGTGAACATGTTCTTTTTTTTTTCCTTTTTCCAGTTACACGAACAGGTTAATGTTACTGTTTTCTGTTATATATTCCCTAGATCATGTTTATTTCTAAAACAAGTCGTGGAGGTGGTGGCCAGATCAGAAGTAATAGGAACGTAACACGAATAACAACCATGTAAAAATCTCAAGTTATTTTTTAATTCTGGAGATCTTTTTTATTTTAGATGAATGAGATTTTGGAATATTAGATTTAACATTGTTTTAGAATGTTTATAAAAAAAAATTTATTTTAATGATCATGTTTGTTTCATTATGTTTTTGTTTTACATATTTGGTAGGTTTTGGAGTTTGTCACGCCCCCTAAATGCACAACGTATTTTGATATGCATGACAATGGCAACATGAGCACAAAGCACATGTTAAGCATGCGGTGCACTTCCATAATACAATAAATTTTATTTTAAAAGAAACTTTATTGATAAATAGAGAAGTCTCGGAGCAAAACTACATTATAGCAAGTTCACTCTAATGAGTTAAAAAAACTCTTATTACATATGCATAGTAGCAAGACACGTATAACTTTAACTTTCAGCATCAAACACCCTAAAAGATCATTCTCATGTTCTAAAGCTCTGAGATACATATAGAGCTATCTAGTTTTCATCTGAAAAAGATTAAAAAACAATGGGGGGAGTCTACACTCAGTGAGCAGAAAACTTATCATTAGCGGATCAGAAAAGTTTAAGAATTTATCAATACTAGAATTCAAATAAGCTATCGTCAAAAAAAGACAATTAAGAAACACATATTATTTCGAATAAGAGGAATTTCAAGGAATAGATGTGATATTTCATAAAAGAATATTCACAAATTATGAAACAATGCGAATGAACACTAAATACTTTTAAAACCATAATTATCCATCTAAATCCATACATGCAAAACTTCCTCAGTTATCACACTAAGACTACGAAAATTATAGACTAGTAACATGAGAATGCACATCAAATCATTATAAGTCAATCCGGGGACAGAATTTACCTAACGCTATCATAGGTTGCCCGAGGGCCACTTCACTTTTGACAAAAAGGCCACTTTATCACTGGTCGGTACATTCAATATCATATGGTAGGATTAAACAAATCACTTCACTCCATAGCGGACTTCTGAGGATTTTTAACAATTAAAACACTTTTTTTATCAAAGTATCACTCATAATTTTCACTAGTATGAAAAGCATTATAAATGCTTAAACACTTTTACAAACTCTTTGCATGTCAATTTCATGAAAGTAGAATATTCATGAATCTAAACGAACAGATAATTTATTTTTTGTCAAATAGAACTATTTAATAAATGCATTTAAACAGTAAATTTGAAATGATATATTTTCAATAATCTCATATACTAAAATAATATTTAAGATAAATAGCTATCACAATTAAAATTTGTTAACAATTACTAATAATGAACATAATAACATGTCTGATCCACAATTTTTCTACACAAAAATAAATTATCATTTAAATAATATATAATAGAAAATAACTAATGAGAAGAAATCTACTCACTTCAAGAGATTTGATAACAATTTGGAGAACCGTACTCCAAGAACCTACTCCTCGGTCAAACCTATAATCATGCAATATGCATAAAAACTAAAGATTCCATACTCAAACTATTTTGGATATAAAATTAATATTTCTAGTTTCTAGGGGGTTTTCTAAAATTTATTTCTATCCTTTATAAATAGAATTTGGGCGTAACAACAACTTTTCTAGTTTAATGGGTCAAAATGAAAATCTTTCCATTAATAAGGTTTTGTACAAAATCACCTTTTCAAAGATTCAATACTCAAAGCTAATTTCTGTATTTCTAGGGGTCTAGCAATAATTTTTCTTTTCTTCTTCCTCTTATCTCTTTCATTTTGTTTACACTACAACCCAATTGGATTTGTTGGGTTCGACAACCATAATGACCACTACCGGTGAAACCCATGACCATGGATGGTCAGAGTTCATTGGATGTCGCCATAGATGACACCGGTGGCCGGAAAAATATATTTATTTTAACTATAACTAAGGATAATTAAGAAAACAAAATGAATAAAACACTAACCTTATGAAGCACACACCTCGTTCATTCCTATATCTCTGACCTCCAGACCCTTTTTTTGGCAAGGGATTCTGCCATCTTATATAGGATTTCTAATGACTCTTGAGATTTGTAACTGCTTTCACATTACCTCCAAACAACATGTGTTCCTAATTAAATAAACTAAAAGGCCCACTAGTGATCCTGATACATAATTTAAGTTGGAAGACCTTTGATTTTCCTCTTTTTTATTAATTGAGAAAAGAAATGGCTCTCTACATCCTCTCCACCTTAAATAAAGTTTCGTCCTCGAAACGTTACATACCTTAGTTCTCAAAAAGTTGAGTATACTTCTATCGTATCTTATCTTTTAGCTCCAATGTTGCTTCTCTTGCAGAGTGATTCTTCCATTGAACCTTCTCATATCGAATAACACGTGTCCTAAGCACGTATTCTTACGATCTACAATACATTCCGGGTGCTCCTCTATGTTAAGTCTTCCTTTAGCTCAATGGGTTCTAGTTCTATAACTTGATTTGGATCTCGAATAAATTTCCTCAGCATAGATATATAAAACACATTGTGGACTCCAGCCAATAAAGGCGGTAAAGCAAGCCTATAAGAGACTTCACCAACACGCTGGAGAATTTCAAACGGTCCCACAAATCTTGGACTCAGCTTTTCTCAGATTCCAAATCTTTTCACACCTCTTCTAGGGGACACCTTTAAAAATACATGATCACCTTCTTGAAGTTCTAAGTCTCTCTTCCTCCGATCAGCATAACTCGAAAAGACCTACAAATGTTTATAAAATTTGCAGCTTTCTTGGCATGACGGGTTACTATCGGAGATTTGTAGAAAGATTTTCTCGTATTGCTTCACCTTTGACCCGTTTGACTCAAAAGGGAATCAAATTTGTTTGGTCTGAATGATGTGAAATGAGTTTGCAAGAGTTAAAGAACATATTAGTATCTGCACCAATTCTCACTATACCAATTGCAGGAGAAGATTTTACTTTGTATAACGATGCCTCTCATAAAGGTTTGGGATGTGTGCTCATACAAAATGAAAAAGTGGTAGTTTATGGTTCTCGACAATTGAAACCTTATGAGCAAAATTATCCAACACATGATTTAGAGTTAGCAGCTGTTATTTTTGCCTTAAAATTTGGAGATATTATCTTTATGGAGTGCATTGTGAAATTTATACCAATCACAATAGTTTAAAATTTTACTCAAAAAGAGTTGAACATGAGGCAACTTTGTGCATTTGGGATATGCTCTCTTACTAAGTAAATATTGTCTATAGCTTGTTGCACTAACTCAGGTCTAAGAAGTTTTCTTTCTCCAATATCGTCCTAATGTATATGTGAATGACATTTCCTTCCGCATAGAGCCTCATATGGTGCCATCTTAATGTTTGACTAATAACTATTGTTATATGCAAATTTTGTAAATGGTAAATGCTCCCCCATGATCCTTTCAAATCAAGGATACAACATCTTAACATGTCCTCGAGAGTTTGAATTGTTCTCTCTGATTGACCATCTATTTGTGGATGATAAGCTGAGCTAAAACAGACTTTACTCTTAAGAACTTTGTGCACACCTTTCCAATACTCAGATACGAATCTAGGATCTCTATCAGATACTATCTCCACTGGAACACCATGAAGCCTAACTACTTCAGTAATGTACAACTTCGCAAGCTTTTCCAATGAGAACTTCATATTGATTGACAATAAGTGAACTGACTTAGTCAGACCTATGGCCCATATAGCGTTGTTATCACTTGCAGATATTGGTAACCCTTATGATAAAATCTATTGAAATTTTCTCCCACTTCCACATTGGTATGTCGAGATTTTGAGTTAATCCGGCTGGTCGCTGATGCTCTGCTTTTACTGGCTGACATATTTCACACTTTGAAACATATTTGCTAATATCTCTCTTCGTATTATTCCACCAATAAATCTCCTTCAAATATTTGTACATTTTGATTCTACCAGGATGCATTGTATATCCAAAACGATGAGCCTCCTTCAAATTCTTCTTCTTCAATTCTGGATTATTTGGAACATAGAGTCGATTTTTGAACCTAAGGGATCTGTCACCGTGTATTACAAAATCTAGTTGTTTACCATCTTCCACTCTTTTTCGGATGGCATTCAAATCCAAGTCATCTTTTTTGGGTAATCTTAATCTCATCAACCAGAGCAGGCTGTACATGGATGTTATTCAATTTGGTTGATGGTTGTTGACATCGGTTCTCAATTCTCAACCGATCCAAATCTTCTAATATATGCCTTTGTCGAGTAATGAGACAAGCTATATTACTCTTTCGATTAAAGGCGTCAGCAACTACATTTGCTTTCCCTAGGTGATAATTAATACTAACTGTTAGGTCTCATGTTTTGAGCCTACATCTTCTAATCTTGTTTTGATGATTACAAACAATTTCTAATATTGTTTGTCTAGTGTTTATGTTTCTTATTAGGTATTCTAGACAAATAATACATTGGAGGATGTATGGACTAGAGCTTTCACGATCATATCCATTGGAAGATGGAAGGAAATAGTGGAATGAAGCCTATGCACACTAGTCAAAATCCAAGTTCAAGCTTCATCCATGTTTACCAAAACGAGCATATTGAAGATATATCAAGCTTTGGTATAT